TGCATGGCTGCCCTCTCCTGGGCATAGCGAAGGCAGAGGACAGTCTGACTCTTCACTGACCCAGCACCTAGAACAGTCTAGACATAGGTCCTTGTGATTTGCTGAATGAGAGTGCTTGAGGAATGAAGACACACGACGAGGGGCAGCCTCCTCCTGGGTTCTTCTCTGATGCTCTCTCTGCAGAGTCAGGCCTGCTGCCCCTGTTCTATTTCCTGAGGCTGGTGCAGGCCACTCAGCCCAGAGGGTGTTGCAGAGTTCAGGCTCTGTGGGTAAGGCTGGGGCTGCTTCTTTCATCCCTGGTTCAGGAGCAGTCTGGTTAGAAAAAGCCATCCCAGACTGGGCACCCAGTATGCCCCCTTGCCAGGCGGCAACTCTCTGCCCCTGACTTCTGAGGAAGGAGCAGTATCTTGGGCAGCTCTGGTCTTAGAGGTCAGAGGGAGGAGGCCCTGAGGTGTCAGGGCTGGGGTGGGGGTGTCTCCAAGAATTCCATGCGTTCCTAAGCCCCTTCTCAGCCTCTGGGCTATGGGTTCTGTGGCAGCTGTGATGGAGGGCTTTAGGAATAAATGACTCTAGAGTGGTCTCAAACTAGGGTGCTGCTGCTACGGCTAAGTTGCTTCAGTCGTGTCTGACTCTGTGCGACCCCATAGACGGCAGCCCACCAGGCTCCCCCGTCCCTGGGATTCTCTAGGCAAGAACACTGGAGTGGGTTGCCATTTCCTTCTCCAGTGCATGAAAATGAAAAGTGAAAGTGAAGTCACTCAGTCGTGTCTGACTCTTAGCGACCCCATGGACCGCAGCCTGCCAGGCTCCTCGGTCCATGGAATTTTCCAGGCAAGGGTACTGGACTGGGGTGCCATTGTCTTCTCCGTCAAACTAGGGTATTTGAAGAATACTCTAGGAAGCCTTTCTGGGCCTAGTGACAGCTCAGGCTGGTCCTTTGGACCCTCACTGGGTTAACATAGCTCTTTCTCTCCAGAGTTCTGGAGGGGCAATTGGGGGCCCTCCTAGGGTGGCTGTGAATCTTGGGGCAAGGACCCAAGATAACTTTCAGCCTCAGTCCTCTCTCCCAGGCAGAGTGGCTGGGAAGCTCTGGCCCCCACCCTCTGATCCTTGCTTCGAAGCCCCTCTTGGCTCATGGTGCCTCTGCAGAGGTGGGGCTGGGGGCAGGGAGCCTTGGGGACTGATGCTAACAGCTTTGGACAGGGTGGGAATTTCCACTCCTATCTAGGGAGCCATCAACACTGTGTGCCCTGACCTGGGCCTTTGGCCTCTAAAGGGCAGTGGGAAGGCCGGCCCCAGGGCCAATCCCTGGCCATTAATCCCTCCTGCCAGCCTGAATATCCACCCAGCATGGTCAGACAAAGGCCTGCCCAGCCCAGCCACTGTGTTCCTCCCGCCCCAGGGGCTCCACTCAGACGCTGGGCCGCCTGGAATCCAGGCCCATGAGAAAGGGGCCGCCTTCACTGGCCATCTTATGCCCGGATGCTCAGCCGCATCCCGTCCGGCCCAGGGCCTGTGAAAAGAGGGCCCAGCCACGCTGAAAACAAGGATTAGCCCTTGGGCCACCCCCTGACACCGGCCTGCTTGGCTCCGGGAAGCAGGCCCAAAGGAGGGGGCCAGGCAGACACAGAGAACTGGAAAAGTCTGGGTTCTCACCCCTTTGGCCCAGCTCCCTGCCCCCACTCTCCCCAAGAGTAGCACAGCCAACCACACATTCAGTACCACTTACTGAACATATACTATATGTCCCAGACTCTACACATGGACTGGAAAATTGATAGCACAAGAAAATTTCAGTCTGCCAAGGGAGGTAGTAAGAGTCATTCTCTTACAACCCACTCCCGACCCCGGGAGGCTGTGGAAGGGGTCTTTGGAGAGGGGCTTCAGCCCTAAGGGAAGAGGAGAAAGATAGTGGCTCTGGTTTCCTGCGTGATAATAGTGGCAGCATTCTGCTGCACCTGGCTGAATACATGCAGGTGCTGAAATCATTTCTCTGGCTCTGCCTCTCTCCTTCCCTTCCTGGTTTAATACCAAAAGTGCCAGGTGTGTAGTAGAAAAGAAATCTCTTATTTAAAATCTATTACCAGGTGCCAGTGTGGGCCAGGCACTTTCATACACAATCTCATTTGAATGTCATAACAACACTGAGAGGGTCCATTATCGTCCCTCTTCGGCAAGTGAGGAAACTGAGGCTCAAATGAGCAATCGGCCCTGGACATTAGGCTCTTGGAGCCAGGCTCCGTGCTGCTGCAGCTGCTTGTCTTGCCTTCCTCTTTGGTGAGCTGTTCACTGTGACTGCACCATCTTATGCTCCTAAGGCCTGTGCCAGGCAGTAGGATGCAAGGTGGAGAGGGGACTGAGGTGGGGTCTCTTCATGTATAAACCAGCTGACGCTTCACTTGTGGTGGGAGGGTGGTTATCTTGAGATCTCTCTAGAGTGTCATCTTCTCCTTCCTCTCTGCTTCTCGGTCCTCTCTGCCTGTCTCTCCGAATGGGTGGTAGTTGTCTGGGTGTCCATCTCTTCACTCTGTCTCCCCTGAGCACTGGCAAAGGACCTGGCACAGAAGTGCTCGATCAATGATGTGGGTGAAACTGAGGCCAGGAGAACTGAAGGAAGAACGGATTTGGATCCACATGGTATTGATAGGACTTGCGGATTGCTGAGACATGGGGAGTGATGGGGGAAAGAGGAGCCTGAGATGATGCCCAATATTTCTGATCTGGGTGGTAAGGGGCAAGGGGTCCACTGGCTGAGATTTGAACTGCAGGATGGGGAGGAAGATGCAGTTGGGGGTGCACTGGGTTGAGGGTCATGTCAAATGAACACTTGGAAATAATGCTGACTTGGAGGTCAGGAGAGAGAGGCTAGGCACCAATTTTGCAGATGAAGTTGTGAGAGCTGGAAAGACTCTAGAGTAAACTATTTCAATAGTCTCAGCTTTAAAATATCATGGTGTGATGGTGTGCTGGTGCACTGAACTCTTGGCTTAATCCCACCTGCCACTAACTAGCTATGTGAAGTCAGGCAAGTCTTTTAACCTCTCAAAGCCTTAGTTTCCTTATCTGCAAAACAGGGATACTAATAGTACAACCTCACAAGGTACTCACATTTAAGTGAGCTAATGTATGTGTTTACCACATACACAATGCTCAGTAATGGTGGCTGTTATAGTATCTGCTGAGATTGGAGCTGCGAGAGTGGGCTGTTGAGCTTTGAGTTTGGAATTTGAAGCCCTAGGCCCTCTGGCTGCTGTAGCTAGCTTTGATCATCTGTACCCACAGGCACTCCACTTCAGCCAGAGCTGGGGTGAGACACCTAGGGCTCCAAATTTAAGAAGGCACTGGCTCTCAAATGCTGACCTTGCACTTGTATCACCCTGAGAGTGAGCACTCCCTTAAATCTGGGCCACTTCGGTAGTCTTACCTACTCTCAGCCCTGCTCTCTTGAACTTGCCTATCTCCAGGAGAGACAAGCCTCTTTAAGACAAGGCTTTTTCATCCCTTAGTTCCCTCCAAGCCAGGTCTGGCTTTCCTCTCACTTTGGAAAAGTTTCCTAAAACAGGCTCAGGGGTGCATCTCTTTTGAACAGTGAGGTGGGTGGTGGTATTTCCTAGAGATAGATTTTAATAAAGAATAAGGGACCTCCTCATCACCACCTTCCCCAATGAGCTGTGAGTCTGGCTTTTCTGGAGCTTCCCAGATGGCACTAGTGGTAAAGTACCCTTCTGCCAAAGCAGGAGGCACAAGAGACCTGGGTTCAATCCCTGGGTCCAGAAGATCCCCTGGAGGAGGGCAGGGCAACCCACTACAGAATTCTTGCCTGGAGAATCCTATGGACAGAAGAGCCTGGTGGGCTACAGTCCAAAGGGTCCCAAAGAGTCAGACACAACTGAGGAGAATTAGCATGCATGCACCCTGCAGAACATTCCCCAGTGAGATGTGAGCCTGGCATTTCTGGGCCATAAGCAGCTCGCTCAGATTTCCAGTCTGTGGAAGCACTTGGGGGGTCTCTCTCTGAGCCAGTAACTGCTTCTTGGAACTTTGGGCTGTGCGGCTGTGTTTTGTGCATCTTCCCAGGGTGCATGACATGAGGGTGTGAAAAAGGGAGCCTTTTTTTCTAGAACAGAAGATGCATGGAGAAGAGGCATCCAGAAGGTAATTCCAAATTACAGATTTTCTAGCGGGCTCTTGATTTAAAGTAATCAGTTCTCCGGTTCCCAAATCTGCTGGCTGATCGCTTTTCACGATTTTGTTTTTTCAAAAGATGCAGGCCTGGATGGGACAAGGTTGTGGGGGAGATAGCAGAGAGAGGAGATGCTAACCCTGGAGCCAGGAAATATCCTCCCCTAACAAAGCCTGCCTCCTGCTCTTCCCTTCCCCACCCCTCCCCCCCACCACCTACCTTTCAACATTGTCTAACGTCCTGGGGTGGGTTTGACACCTCTTTGACCAGCACAGCATCAGGATGCTGAGGGTTGGCAAGTTGGCTCTGGGAGGCTCTCATCTCTGCCCCAGCTGGGATTGGAAGGACACGGAGGGGTACCAGGAGAGAAAGATGGAAGAGACAGGACTTAGCTGAGAGAAGGTGGATGGGGAGGGGGCCCAGAGAGTGCTGTGAATGGATGGATTTGTGATTGGCATGGACCCAAAGGGGTGGAGGTTGAAGGAAGAGTGGAAAGGGAAGTGGGCTGACTGAGTCTGGTGTGATGGGGCTTGGGCCAGGGGCTGACCCAATGGAGATAGAGAAGGGATGAGGCTGGGTCTGGGAAAGACTGACCCAAAGGGATGAAGCCAAGGGAGGGGTGAAAGGCTGCGGATGGGGGAGAGAACTGTCAGCCTTGAAAGAAGATTGGGAAGGCAAATTAGAGGGGGAGGCGCTGGCCAGCGAAGGTCCGAGCCCTCGCCCCTGGCTGGGGGCACAGAGGGAGGGGGCCGTGTCCATATAAGGCAGGTCATTGGCCCGGCTCTCTCCGAAAGCGCGGGCAGCCCGCCGCATTCCCATGACTGGGCGCAGCGATATGGAGCCGCCCGCAGCTTTCTCTGGCTTTCCTGCCCCGCCCTCGGTCGCGCCGTCGGGGCCGCCGCCGTCGCCGCTCGCCGGAGCCGAGCCTGGGCCGGAGCCCGAGGAGGCGGCGGCGGGCCGCGGGGAGCCGGAGCCCGCGCCGGCACCCGGCCCGGGCCGGCGGCGGCGGCGGCCCCTGCAGCGCGGGAAGCCGCCCTACTCATACATCGCCCTCATCGCCATGGCGCTGGCGCACGCCCCGGGCCGCCGCCTCACGCTGGCCGCCATCTACCGCTTCATCACCGAGCGCTTCGCCTTCTACCGTGACAGCCCGCGCAAGTGGCAGAACAGCATTCGCCACAACCTCACGCTCAACGACTGCTTCGTCAAGGTGCCCCGCGAGCCGGGCAACCCGGGCAAGGGCAACTACTGGACGCTCGACCCGGCGGCCGCCGACATGTTCGACAACGGCAGCTTCCTGCGGCGCCGCAAGCGCTTCAAGCGCGCCGAGCTGCCCGTGCTCCCGGCCCCGCCGCCGGCCGCCGGCCCGCCGCCCTTCCCCTACGGGCCCTACGCCCCCGGCCCCGGGCCCGCGCTGCTCGCGCCTCCTCCCCCCGCTGCCCCTGGCTCCGCGCCGCCCGCGCGCCTCTTCAGCGTCGACAGCCTGGTGAGCCTGCCGCCCGAGCTGGCGGGGCTGGGCGCCCCCGAGCCGCCTTGCTGCGCGGCCCCCGACGCCGCCTTCTCGCCCTGCACCGCCTCCCCGCCGCTCTACTCACCGCCGCCCGACCGCCTGGGGCTGCCCGCAACGCGCCCCGGCCCCGGCCCGCTGCCCGCCGAGCCGCTGCTGGCCTTGGCAGGGCCGGGAACCGCGCTCGGCTCCCTCGGCCCGGGGGAGGCCTACCTGCGGCCGCCGGGCTACGCGCCTGGGCTGGAGCGCTACCTGTGAGCCCCCTTCCCATCGGCGGGGGGCGGCCCGGGCCCCTCTTCCCCAGGAAGGGGCGCTGCCTGGGAGCCCCAATCTCTGTCCTCGTGCCTTAGAGCGCACCTCGGAGCTCCCCAGCCCTGCCTCGTGGACTGAGCACACCTGTTTCACCCCCCGCTGTCCCTCATCCCTGGGGAACCTCCCAGCATCTCTCCACTGGACTTAACCCCCCATCCCCCATCCCGAATTGTAAGGCCCGCTTTTCTTCTCCCTCCACTGTGAGCCCTCATCTGTGCATGCCCCCGACCTCTGCACTATTTTGGGTCCCATGTCTGGGGACCCTGGAGCACCACCTGTGAGCCCCCACCTCGAATTTCTGGTGAATTTCAAGCCTTTGGAAGTCAGACCTTCGATCTCAAACTGCCTCCCAACTGGTCTTTAACCTCCCCTGGGTGTTTTGTTTTGTTTTTTTTAATAACACATTAGAGGCCAGACTCCTGGGTCTGTGACTCCCTGGCTGTTATCCTTTCATTCCCCCCACAAGCTTGTCCCCCACTCCCACTTACCTGTCCGTTCCGTTTCCTACTGAGAGAGCACTCCCCTTTGACACAGACTGGAACCTGGCTGAGCTCCTCCAGACTCCAGGACAGCTCTTCATTTCTGAGACAAGCAACACCAGGGGCTCCTTGACTTCAGGAAGAGTTAGTGGGCTGCCCCATCATCTGAAAAACTTGAGACTTACTAGATTATTATTATTTTTAATTAAAACTAGTTTAATTAAAAAGAAGAAACTTTCCTCTGGGCTTGGTGTGCTGGCTGTTGACTTGGGGGAGTGGTCTGGGGAGGCAGTAGGGAAGTTTTGTTCAGGATCTTGGGTTGCCACATGGGGTGAGCCCCTTGCGAGTTACCGGGCAAAGATTCATGAAGTAGGATTAGGATGTGATTCAGCCATAGCTGTGCACATAATAGGCCTGGTGAAATGCCATCCATAACCTGCTGCAGAAGCTGGTAAAGATGGGGCATGCAGGTGAGTGTATTTGGCCAGTGCGTTTGTCTGCTGTGTGGGATTATTCCCAGCTCCCATGGATAAGGGAGCAATGCCTACTCCTCCAAAAAGCACTCACTGAATGTGCCAAGCACAGGGAATGTATCACTAAACAAATGGGCAAGATGCATGCTTTGAGCTTATGGATCAGTGGCGAAGAGACATTATCAATCAGTTCTCAGAGAAATGAGACAAGTGCCCTAGAGCCTTCCACTCAAACTGTGGTCCAGGTACCTGGGAGCTTGGTAGAAATGCAGAATCTTAACTCAGACCCACTGAATCATCGATTTCCGCAATTTAACAAAATTCCAGGGTGATTAGCATGCACCGTATTCTGAAGTAAAGGCACTGTGCCAAAGCTGGGACTCAGTTTAAAAAGCTATTCCCTACTTTAAGGAGTGGGACCAGGCTGGAGAACCATACATGCCCTGCGGAACGTCTGGAGCTGGATTCTGCACCCCATCTTAACTCCCCTGCTGAAATGGGAGCTGGAGCAGCAGGGACTTGAGCTGATTCATGACTGTCCCCAGCACCAAGGACAGGGCAGCACTGAGCACTCAGAAGTTGCAGGAGAGGGAGGGAGTTGGCCTTTGACCCTATCTTGCTTTCTGGTGCTGATCCAAAGCTAAGCATCAGGCTTTTCCCAGCTCCTTTGCCCCAGGGCTCTCAGTCAACTAGGGCCTGAATTAGGTGTGGGGAAGGGCGGGGGAGGGGATCAGTGTCTCTGAGCCCAGGGTGAACGTGATTTGCAAGTTGGACGTGCCTGATACAAGTGTTTAAAGCTCTGGGGGCAGCGATAGAGGGTGAGCACAGGGAGTAAGCAGCTCATAGAGGAGAAAGGTTCAGGAAATCTGAGAAGGCAGGGAAGGCCCTCTTTGGAGGTAGGGCAGTAGGTATGCACAGGCTGGTATGAAATGCTCTGGATAGACCTGTTCCCTCAGCTATTAACCCCTTTGGGCAAGTCAGATCTAATTTGCCTGATGCATAACAGCCCTTCACTTAATATTTGATGACTGACTGAATGAATGAATCCCTAGTGTCTAATATTGTGCCTGACTTACTGAATAATGATTGGGCTGACAGTACTTTGGCACCTTCTTACCCATTCTCACTTGCAGTCCTCCCACTGATCTGCAGTAGAGCTGAAAGACAGGGAGGTGGAGACTAAGTCCCCATTGGTCCAATGAGAAAATCACCCCTCCCTGCAGCCAAGCAGGTAGGGAAGATCCCGCCCTCAGTTCTCTAAGGAATAGAGCCCCATGGAGATCAAAATGCATACTCGCTTCTGCTTCAAATGGTGTTACAGTCCCTCCTTCTGCCTCACAGAACTTCATGATAAATTCCTTCCAAATTCAAGAAATTTCCACAGACAGGAAGAAGTTCCTTCTTACTTGGCTGAAGTCGGGAAGTGCTTCTTGAATTCTGAATTCAAATCTCGTTTGCCATACAAGTCTCTGTCCCTGGGATCTTGAAATAGTGGGGAGGAGATGAGAAATGTCTGCATGGAAATACCAGAAAGGTAAATACTGACCTAGAAAGTCAGAAAGATTTTATTTTAAAAATGCTTCTTTAATTTTCCTGTATTCAACATCATGGAGGGCTGACTGTGTGCCAGACCTTGTGCTGGGCTCTGAGACCAATAGGGATACAAATGAGAGTGTTTATGCCCTTACAGAGTTCATTGTCTGGAAAGCTACATGTCATAGAGCATCCTAAGAATTTTGACACTTTGGGAGGTGTTGAAAACACAAAGCAAAAGTCTTAATTCAATTCTGTCTTTAAAGCACCAAATACTTTTTTTTCTAGAAGTGAGATTTCAATATAATTTCCTCTGCCCCCTTTTTAGAGGAAATAATTTCAATAGTCTTCAGAAATGTTAAGCAAATACTTACCTCTTCAGTTTAATAGAAAACTTGATATCATCTTTACTCTGAAGATACATTTTTTAACACTTAAGTTTTGTTTTTATTAAATTGAAACAGTCACATAACCTAACAAGTCAAATAGCAATCAAAGACCTTAGGACATGTGTTTTGTTTCTTAGAACATCTATTTTCAGTTCATATTTGTCTCTTTTGGATCTACTTTCCTATTTCCATGCTTATACTATTCTCTCTTAGAACAGAATGATTAACTTCCTATTATGATAGATGATCATTTACCTCTAAATCTCTATCGCTTCCCCACTCCACCTGAAATTACCAACGTTTGGTTAAATTAGTTTCTAGGATTTACATTACTTCTTCTTGTTGTTTAATTACTAAGTTGTGTCTGACTTTTTGTGACCCCATGGACTATATAGCCCATCAGGTTCCACTGTCCATGGGATTCTCCAGGCAAGAATACTGGAGTGGGTTGCCATTTCCTTCTCCAGGGTATCTTCCCAATCCAGGGACTGAACCTGCATTTCCTGCAAGTTAGCAGGCAAATTCTTTACCACTGAGTCAACAAGGAAGCCCTTTTACATGACTAATGCCACATAAATTTTGTTCTTCAATAAGTTGCTAGTGTACCATGACTAGGCTTCCTTTTTTTTTTTTCCTTTTGGTGCAACTTTGAATTTTCCTGGAGTTATTGCCTTATTTTTTTTCATTTGCTTAGCTTTATACCTGTGGCTAAAGCTTCTTCCCATATCTTCCAATAGCACAGTTTTTCATGAAGTCAAACCTATCAGGAAATCTGTCATCGCTTTTGGTCATGTTTTTCCTTTCCTGGGGGCATCTCTCCCAGAGCCTTCTGTCCTTCAGCTTCAGACTGGGCTGATTGTGCTCCATGTCTGCTGCCCAGATGTGGCCCTGAGATTTCCCTTTACTGTTTTCCTTGGAATTCCCTCCATCTCTATTCTGTGTTGGATCCTGTGCTCCTGGGATTCCAAACGTCCCTTTTGGTTTATTTCTTTGTTTCAGTCGAGGTCAATTTGGGGGAAAATTTTGCATTATCTGAAACCAAGATGATTATTTTAGCATGAGAAGCTAAGTGTGCATTTTGACAATTAAATGATTGTGTCAAAGCTGTGTTCTGTAGACCTTGTTTAGGGGTGGTTGAGAACGAGGGGAATGGGAGACTGTTTCCTGGGTTTAGTACACACTTCCCGCCTACCCTACCTACCTACTAGGAAACTTGGAAGGAGGCTCAGTGTTATAGAAATGAGGGATGCTTGTTTGGGTAGGAGAGTTAAGCTAGGGGAACGGTCCTGAGTTCCTTATAAGAATAAGGAGTTACTCATAGGTGAGCTGAGAGGGGCTGCTTCCTGACTTAGGGGGATTTGGAACCCCCGGAAAGAATGACTTTGGGCCCACAATGGTGCTGAGCTGCTTAGAGTGTTTAGAGGGCCTGTGCGATTCAGCTCAAGAAAGTGGCCACTGTTACCTTAGCAGGTAGAAAATTGAGTACCTAGGAAAGTGACGTCCTTGGCAAGGACACA